TTCGCGTTCTCCATATCGATGTATTATTCAAATCTACGAACGGGTTTGGCGCGCTGAAAATCGATCGGTAGATCGTAATTTTCGGTTCGTATCGCCGGTCTGTCCTTTACGGTTGCTCCGTCTTCCAAAGAACCGTCGTTTTTCCAACGCCGTCTATTTGCAGAAGCTGCGCAATAACTGGACGCGTTTGAAATTCACGCGAACGTGAGTCGTAAGAAAGAGAAAAAAAAAGAAAGAAAAACATTTACGAAACAGGCCTGACTCGCTAAAAAATAATACGATTCCATCGAGCTCCATTTAAAGTCTCTCTGTACAAACTCAGCCCTGACCGTAATGCTTGTTATACGTTTTTCTGACAGCCGCGCGTGCAAGCAGATACGTCGCGGCGGCGACGACGCTCGGCGCAGATCCAGTTCGCGTTTCCGCAAACTGGCATTATACCTGTATTTGATAAGCTGCGTGGAACTAGAGCGTTTAAATAATGACCGTGCAGACGGCGATGGGCTACCGCGATGGGGGCGTCGCTATTCGTTCGAAACGTTCGACAAACAATAATAATTTATTCAGATGTTTTTCATTGCGCGCGCTCCTTTCACGGCCTAGCGAGCGTTAATTCACCGTCCCCGATCAATGTTAGTCGAACGACATTTTCCGACATTTTTTTCACGCGGTCGTCTAGAAATTTCAACAGCAACAATATACAGGGTGCTCCGTAACTGTAGAAATTGGGTCGGGTTGATTCCATAGCTCGAAAATCAAGAACTAAATAAATTCTAAAGAAGACGAAGCTTTTGAGGATCATGCTGTTCATTATCGAAAGAAGCAACATAGATCGAAATCTACTTTTTTATTTCCGAACGTTCGATATCGCGACGCATCGGATATAAATAGTATTGGTTCGGAGGTATTGCTCGTTTGTTCAAGGTTCTATGATAGCGCAAGATTATCGCCGATATCAACAAAGATTAGACGCAAACTTAACGCAAAGTCGATCACCTGACTCGTGTCTTCTGGATTTCTTTTCAATCGTGGAAATAGGCAAGAAAAAGTTTAAACGGTTGAAAATAATGGACACCGAATGGTACACTTTTCTAAATTACAGTCTATCAATAATAAAGATATAAAAGCACTTTGTGGGAATTGCAAGTAAATCGGCGACAAAGTGGAGCGGAGAACGAAGTAGCCCACTGTAGTATTTCAGGGATAAAGATCCACTTACGGTGACCAATAAAAAATTCATGTATTACAATGAGTCACGGAAGGAATATTTGAAAATGTCGGCCTATGGTCTGCGAATGTCAGTCATGCATCGGAACGGAAGGAAAACACGTCTTTTACGAACGCGAAAACAAATTTTTGTGCGTTTACATAGCCACGATTGATTTCAAGACCTAATGGTGATTAAGCATCTTTTGCTACTCCCGATGCGCGATATATAATCCCCCGGTTCGCTTCCTTTTTATAAACACCCTATGCAAACGCTTTTTGTTCGCTTATCTCGTTAACGGAATCGTTGGAAATGCTTTCCATCCGAGCAATGCATGTCTCGCGTGGAAGTTTCGTGGACTGTTGAACGCGTTCGATAATTCCCGGAGTACATATTTCGAAGTTTGTCAAACAGTATAAACAGGAGTTTCGCGAATTAAAATCTAGAGGAATTAGATCGCAGTGCGCTCATACTGTGCAAACGTGTGGGTGCTCCATCGTGCATGTAACACATTTGATTGCTTATCTTTGATGGACCGTTTTCTAGTAATTTAGTCGGCTCTGGTTTCAATAACTGATTGTAATTATTACCACCACGCTCTTGGAAGACCGACGATTCCGCCGTATACGTGTATATTTGGGACAACGACCCTTTTATTATGCTCGTGGACACTCACGATCGCTTTCGATTACTTCCTTAGCAATGTAAACACATCAATTACAAATGTTTGTCACTGTTCAATTTTGTATTATCGAGAGTGCGTTGCGTAATTTATTTGTGAAGATTACGCCTAGTCGTATTATATCTACGTCCGATTGGTCCGACTAGTTATCGTATTGAATTTCATAATCGATAAAACGATGAAAGCGGTCTTCGATCGTTTCAACATCGGATGACTTTGCAGTCGAACTAACTTTCGTGCAATACTTTCTATCCTTCTGTTCGCGAGAGAAACATATCCCCGCGTTCTTCCACGAGCAATTTTACTTCCATTAGATCTTCAGACGCAGCGCCACTGAACGAAGATGAAGTACACTCTTCGTTCAATGATACTTCGCCTGTTAGCACTTTCGCTGTTTAGATCGGCAAATATACGCATTCGATCGTTTCACGCGTCGTGGAACTTTGTACATCGCGATACAAAGCAACGACCGAGGAAATAAGAGACGATAACTCGGGCCCGAGAACACCCAGGTGAATCGTATCAACGATTTTCGTACGCCCACTGCCGATCGTCGCGAGAATTTATTATTTCGAGAATTAATCGTTAAATAGGGGACGAAACGAAGCTTATTTTTTATCACTCCGTTCGAAAACCGTGGTAACTGCGACGTAGAGGCGGGACCAGAAGGCGGGAATTCCGATCGCGCGCAGAATCGGCCGCATAGGTTCGCGCGAATTGATTCCGAGCGCGATTCAATCTGCAAATTCTTCGGCGTCCACGGTCGTCCGGGTTCTCCGAGAAACGACGCCTCGCCGGTTCGGCTTTAATCGGCACGGACTGTCCTGCGCTGGCTGGACGACAAAATCAATCCGGTGAGAAACAAAGGCGGCAGCCATGAAAAATCGCCTCCGCGCTCGATCTTCCCGCGCACGCGAATCCTACGCGCACATGCAAATATATTTACGTAGATTCGTCGGTCGTCGTGTGTTCGTGGCACACGCGACGACCAAATGGCGTGACAGTTATGGTGCATTTGCGGGACGCGTGCCACCGTACCGGGTGTCTGCTTAGAATCAATCGACGCCCTCAAACTGGGACTCTGCGGGGAAACGGGCGCGCGAACGGAAACAGGAACGTGTCTCTCAATATTTCTATGGACGGATCGCGTAAAAATCTAGGCTTCCGTGGATGCTTCGGTCGCCAGGCTGGCAATTGGGCGCGTCACCGCGCCTACGATAACATTCAGCTATTCGGCCTTTGGATAAGGAAGCGCAAAAAATTCTGTTATCGCCCCGTCTATCGTCAGCCGCAATGACGAACGCAACGAGGTTTGCATCTAGCCGTATCTACCGGCGAACGCGAAAAATTATTGCGCCGTTTACCGTGGACGGAGGGGGTGGGGACGATTTTCGCTGAAACTCGAAACTTCGTTAACGGCGAAAGCATAATCCGCGCTATACGCGGCAAAGAAAAGAACAATAGAGGAAAGATTACTAAATGCGTTCGTAATGCGCCGACAATTTCGTGTGCTGCAATTTTCTTGGTTGCGACATTCTGCCAGATACTGGGACGTGCGTGTTACCGCTGTGTCCTTCAAAAAACCACCACATCCGGTCGGTTTCTCGAGCATGCGATTTTGGTGATTCCGACATCGGCGTACATTACCAGACTTATCGCGGTCAACGGATCTTTATATTCACGCGAGAAACTCGCTTTTCCGTGATCCGTCGAACCCGAAACTTCGTGCTCGTTCGCCTCGCCGCGATCGTTTATCGCTACCCTCTCCTCGAGGCCGCGGACGCGTTTCCTCCGACGCCTCGCGGCCTATCTAAGGGTACGTGTGAACCGCTGCAACCAGTCACGCGGAACGCAATCCAAGGGGAGGATGCTTTGGGAATTTTTTACAAAGATACCACAGCACCTTTGCAATTATTTTTAAGTCGCTTGGTCGAGTAGATTTTGACGTATCGTCTATAACTTTGACCATCCCGTCCTTCGAATACTTTCGGGAATTCGAGCTTAAGTTTTTGCAAATACTCTTTGGAAAGTTCCGTATTTTTTTATAAAAAAAAAATCGATTTTTTTTTCAATGGTTTGCGGTAGAATACCCCCTTAAATGGGAAAGGCTATTCGACAAAGCGCACGCGATGTTTTCCACACAGCTGTGAACATTTGGAAACGATCGACCGATAGCGAAACTCAAGTTTATTTCTTTTCGAGCGCGGGTGTACGCCGACGCGCAAGTTTCTTTTGCTTTCGTGCGCGATATCCCGTTAAATCGAGCTTTTTATAAGGGTTTCGAATACGTTCCGCAACCGAATGTTACAGCACCAAAGACACAAGGGCGAGTGGAGAAATCGCGATCAAATTCGAGAATAATATTAGGAAAAAGAATAGTCGAGGAGCCGGCCAAAAAATTGTGTAAAACTTTGTATATTTAGTAACTTTTTTTAACAAGAAATCGATACTCAACGTTGCATCTTTCACATATGTAATCTTCGGCAGAATTTGCCCCACTGCATAATGCATGCTCCCAAAAACGACGTCCTTTGCACGCGTACCCCTCTTCCCACCACGTCCGAATTCACCGCAAATTAAACATTCATTTTCGTTTTCACCCAAGAGGATGCCATTAATCCCGTCGTCGTCGCAAAGCTCTCGTATATCGATGTTTCCGTCTCGAGAGTCATACGTTAACAAATTCTTTCTGCATTTTCACTTCTTCGCTTTCACTTCGGTTGTAAAAGTGCCAAGGATAGGCAAAATTCACATTTTTTTTGCCTTTTGTGGGGTCACAGTTAACATTTACGAATGCTTTCCTTCTAATCGAGTATGCTCGACAAGCACGTTTCAGGATTAACCTCTACTACGCTGAAACTTTACCAGTAACCCTGTTAATAAATATAGGGTTTCCCAATAAGACTACATGTTGCTCAGAAGGTTATGTAAGTAAACTTTTAAAGCAAGTTAACATCGTCTACAAGGGGGAGTCTGTCTGTTAAGTAAAAAATTCGTATTAAAGAACCAGGGCGATTAGGTAGATGGAGATCTTGGAGGATCGGTTGGTTAGGGGGTTTTCGGGTAAAGCGGTGGTCGTCATTGTTTGATGTAGTTGCGGTGGTGTCGCAGGTCTGGAACGGGTAGCGGAGGAGTTGATGGGCCGTAGGAGATGGAAGCAATATCAGGACACCCTGTACAGCGGTACTCGCAGCAGCGAATCACTGACGACACAGCCCCACCACCGGCTCTACCCGGCGTTCTCGTCGTCCTGCGACCCGGTACCCGGGAACTTGGAACAAATTGGCCCGCGTACGCTACATCCTGCGTCCTCCTCGTTACCCACGACGATAACGACGACAACGAGCACGGTGTCGGCTGCAGCGACGACGACGACAACACCGCCAACGACGGCGGCGGCGACGACGACGACGGGTTTGGTCAAGCAGGACAGCTTGCAGAGGCATACCCTGCAGAACCATCATCACCTACAGTCCTCGGCGCAAGATCATCACCGCCATTACCAGCAGCAGCAGCATCAGCAGCATCAGCAGGAGGACCAGCGTCGCCTCAGGCCAGACGAGGTGAAGGTCGAGGTCGGCGAGGACGAGTTTGCGAACGGTGTCGGGCGAGAGGAATCTGCAACGAAAACAACGGACACATCGACAGCGACGACGGTAACGGCGTCAACGACGGCGACAACGGGAACGAGCATCGTTACCACCACCAGCAGCACCGGTACCGGCACGATAGCGACGATCGCGTCGGCGAACACCACGGCTACCATGACCACGGGAACGACCACGATTCCGACCAGGCGAAGACGCAAACGCCGGCAGAACGACGGGGACGGTGCCACGGACGACAGGGAGGACGACGACGAGAACGAGGAGGAGGAGGAGGGACGGGGGCAGAACGAGGCGGAGAAGCGGCTGAAGCTCGATCAGGATGCGGACAGGCCCATCAGCCCTCTCAGGAGAGACAAGGACCGAGCAACTCGGGATTATTCGACTGGCAACGCTACCGACACGGAAGGGACCAAGGTTCGTATCCTTCGTTTCCAGCGAAACGATACACCGGACCGGGAGAGAATAGACGACCACGGAAAAGGGATTTGTTGTTTGTTGCAGGAACGAACGGAAGAAGTCGCGTTGGAGCGGACACCGGTAACGCAGGGCTTGCTGAGAGTGAAGAAAGAGGAGGAGTTGCAGGAAGTGCCAGGTTCTGAGGGCGGCCCAACGATATTGACGACACCGGCGCCGGATTCGGATGGGACCAGGTCAGGGTTGTCGTGTCGGGAGGTTGACGCGGTCGCGAGGAACACTGTGGCGCCGTGTCTGATCGGAGGACGACGCATCAGCCCACCCCCGGAAGACTGGAAGCCGCTGGACAAGTGTTACTTTTGTCTCGATGGCAAGCTGCCGCACGATGATCAACCACCCCTCGTAAGTATACCTTCCGACGAAGGGCGACGTCTATTACTTGCACTCGATTACTCTTTCCCGCGTCGCGTCGTTAACGAGAATCAACAAAACCTGGCTCGCGATACGAGGCGCGATTCGGCCGTCGGCTATTCGCTTCTTCACACCGCATAATTAATCGGCGCCGGGTAAAGGACGCCCGTGTCGCGTCACAGCGTTACCGATTCTTCGACGCGACGCGAGCACAGTCCAGCGCAAAATGTTCAATTTTTTATCATTTCTCGCCTCCGTGTCCGGCGTCCGTGGCTTTGATCGCTTTGACGGCGACGCCCTTATAAAAGTTTCACGAAGGTGGCCCGTGGTCACAAGGAGCGCCTTGTGAAAAACGAATTTGATCGGGATTCGATCTGTCCGCCACGTCGACCAGGACGTTCTCCCTTTTCCATGATCGTTTCTTCCCTCCCACGCCGGTGGTAATCAGTTCCTTTCCGTACGTTTCGTCGACCAATGACGACGAGCCGGACCGAGCATAACGTTCCTCGATGTCGCGTCCTGCAGAGTCCGCAGAGCGACAGCAGCAGCAGCTCGCGATCGGCCGAGTCACCGATGTCGGTCCAGGTGGATCCGATGGCGGCTTCCGTGGTCGCCGCGGCTCTCAGCGGCACCTATCCCACCCTGCTACCCCAGTGGTGTCTACCACCAAGGGAGGCGCCTCTCGTTGGGGTGCAAGCTCATCAGGACAGCGCAACGCCGGTCGACCAACCGCTCGACCTCTCGGCCAAACCCAAAAATTCTCAGGTACGTGTCTGCCTTCTGGCGTGGGTAGATGAGGACGAATTCTGTCTCGAGAATCATTCAAGTCATTGCTCCTCCTAATTCGCATGTTCGCCCTAATGTCAACGATTAAACGATCTATTCGATGGAACCGTCTGCATGTTTATTCCGGAAGGCTATACACGGTATGGTATCGATTGTATTGTTTCCTTTTCTGTCACAGGACAACAACATATCTCTATTGGAGCAACAGAAAATACCTCTAAGGATGCCAGCAGGTATCGACCCCAAGAGTATCTTTACGTAAGTAGCTCTTTCTTCGACTCGATCGATCCAAACCGCGGCGGACTCAATTTCTATCACACTACTCTTTACAACAAAAATCACAAAACGATTAACAAATACATCTTTCTTCGACCCTAGAACCACCGGAAGTGGTAACAAATAAATACACAATGATGCTCGATAATTCCAGCGTTAAATAAAAAACAAACTTTTGCCAGTGAATCGTGGCGTTCTTATAGAAATTTCGTCCGCCGCAAACGTCTAAGTTCGCGATGCACCGACGAGGAAAACGTTTCTCGAATCCCAGGATGCTTCGATTATCGTTTCTAAAACGGATTCGTTCGGTCCTATTAAAATTCGTCTGCTTGGTAACGAGAACAAGAAACGCGTCGATGTCGTGCCGGTGTTATCGCGCGACTCGTTTTACACCTCGTGGCGAAACGACGCTACCGCCGATATAGGTATTTGCATTCCGCGCGGGTAAAGGAAAGTGTTGATCGCATTCCGTGCCGTGTATTCCGTAGAACAGATTCGAGTTAAGCGACAATTTAGCGGACAACACGCCGTCGGACAGAGGAGGGCGATTGTTCTCCTCGGCGACTCTACCAGCTATCGTTTTAATGATTATACTTGCCGCGTCGTATACTTTTATATTATGCAAAAGTTGTATTTTATCGAACAACACTCCCGGCGTACGTTCGAATCTATAACGCACCTGTACGAACTGGTAATTAAAAAGTTTTCCTTTCGCTGTCTGCGTATTCGCAAATTTTTTCAGCGCCCGTCTCCCATTGTCCGCGAGATACTCGTTACGACAATTTACTCGAGGGTCTGTAACTCTTCTATGTCCTTTTTTTTTTCTTTTCGTTACAACCCGCGTCGTGCTCGTCTAAAAATGATCGCGCGCGTTTATCCGAACGTTCGTCGAACGAAATCGCGGGGTTTCGTACGAAACGGCGCGGCCGTATCGGATCGAGCATCGCGTCCGTTCCAAAGGGTAACTCGAAAATTGCAAAGAGAAACCTGCCGTTCCGAATCGGCCGTGAAAGTTAATCGAAGATAAACGGAAGAGAAATCGGATGTTCCTGACTCGAAATTCGAACTAAAACCGTTCTTTCGAGCGAATTTCCTCGAATCAAGATCGATATTTTCGAAACGAACACGAGTAATCTCGATATCTCGATCCGTGTTAGATTTGTACATACCGAAAGATTATGATTGAACAATGAGTAAGAACCAAAGCCATAAAATCCTACAGACGCAAACTGTTTCGCGAGTACGTAAACGAGAAAAAGATTACGACGCGTTTATTCCTGCGCATTTAATTGTATAAAAGTTCAATTTTCTGATTTTTGTCGCGAGTACTCCGAGGGAGCCGCGATAGGGAAAACGAAAGAGAGGAAAAGACGAATAACGCCCGAGAGTCAAAGTCGCGAAGCGTGTCCGTACGTTGCCCTCGTGTTTTCGCCGTTTTCCCCGCGGAACATTTTGCGCGTCAAATTTTTATCGTCGTCTATTATTAGTCCACCGTAATCTGCACCTCCTGACACATCGAAGGCACAAAGTACCTCGCGTGTGTCGTATGCACGTCGCGCGAGAAGGATCGCGAGACGACGGGAAACGCCGGAGGAAAGAAGATGGAACGCGAGTCTCGGATCGCGCCGGCGCATGCGCGCTACCGTAATTAACGATAAGATAGCCCGCCGTCGAAACCGCGCCAGTAAAGTCGAAATTAGAAGCTCGAACGATCAACCAAACGAGAATTACGTCTACGCGATGCTTGACAATGAATTTTCCCTGTTAACGGAGAAATCGAGATATCGACCGCGACGATTCCGAGATCGCGCGCGAACCTTTATAACCCACCTTTCCAGCGCCGCGATCTATTTTATCGCGATCGATGCGTCCGAACTGTGGCCAGATTACGATCGAGAGCAATAATTATTCCACCAGACGCGGTTTTAGCCGTTCGAGATAAATATGAAACTAGCGTAACAAAGACGAGAGATAGGTTTCTACCGAGTCGACAGAACCCCCTGGTCGAGAGCAAGACGGTCGAAATGCACTTTTATCAGCTTTGCTGCCCGCCAGGGGTCGACGAACCTATCAGGGGGGGCCACGGTTCTTGCGACTCACCGGTGAGGAGAGGGGGAGTTCTTTGCACGATGAATTCTTACGGTTAATCTTATCGTCAAACGGTGAGACAAATTGCAGCGGCCCGATAGCTGTCATTCTCGCGTCGCTGCGTTCCTCGATCAATTCCCACCACCGATTCGAGCGTTGCGTTTCGACGATAATTAAACAAAGGGAAACAAATTTAAATCGATCCGTACGCGATAAGAAAATACCAACTATCGGTTTTTACGTAATAGTTTCCGCAGTAAGCCTGCGATTCGAACGAAATTCGTCCACAAATTATGAATCAAACTCCTGGAAAGCTTTAATTGCGTAATACTCGGTAGTCCAACCGTCTCTCTCTCTCTCTCTCTCGCTATTACCTGTCTAATTTCGTAGCTCGAATTCGTGCTAACGCACCGGTACGCCGGAGATCAAAGTGTTAACGAGACACCGTCGGATCGATTCGGTTCTCGTGCAGAACACGTGCGCGTACCGCAGTTGCCACGTGGTCGACGAGTACAAACCGCGATACAAGTTAACCGATGAACCACCTATGCACGTGAGTTTGCGGCACGAAAAGTACCCGGATAACCAAACTTCGTTACGAGGACGCGTATCGGTACTCTGCGGTGGTCGACGAATTACCGGGCTTCCACGAACCGTACCGTTCAAATCTCCGGAGAACTTTGTCGCCCACCATTGACACGTCATCGACGTATCATGATCACGATTTTGAACAACTCGTCCATCGAATACGAAACATTTTTCGTTGTAAAAAATTACTAAAACTCGTCGAAGGGAGCAAGCGCTATTTACACACAATTGGTTTCGTTGACTCGCTCGCTTATCTGTCCAAGTAAATTAATCGAATCGATACTCGATATTATACTTGCAAATAGTTAGGAAAGTAGTTGTTGCGAATCACGGACCCGACTACTTATTTCGAGATGATCCAAGTTCGCGACAAGGGACTCGTGGAATTAATGGCCATGTGCGCTCGTCGGTGCATCGATAACGAGAACGTTGCTTCTCGAAACAAGGCATAGAGATAATTATAATTAGGACGAAGGGAGGTAGGATACAATGGAGTAATAAACCGTATGGAATGTGTTTTAGTTCGTATCGCGCGAAACCGCGTATGACCGGGCCAGTGTCGACCGTGGCGGCGGCAGCAGCTGCGGCAGGGGTCGGTGGTGTCCCCGTGGTGGGTGCAGGGGGTGGCCGGAGGACCTACACCGAGGAGGAGCTCCAGGCCGCCCTTAGGGATATCCAGAGCGGCAAGCTCGGTACACGAAGGGCGGCCGTGATCTACGGAATACCGCGTAGCACCCTGCGCAACAAGGTCTACAAGCTTGCGATGGAGCGCGAAAGGGACGCGTCCCTGACTAGCACCCACTCACACCCTCACGAGTCCGGCGCCCCAGCCACCACCACCACCACCATCACCACCACCACCACCACAACTACTACTACTACTACTACTACTACTACACCACCAAATACGACCCAAAACGCCTCCGCGACCACTCCGCCCCCGCAAGTGGATGAGGTAGGTTTTGGGGACAGAAAGCCGTAAGAGAAAGACGATAGAATTACAAGAGAACAAGCGTGATGATACCGATACCGTTTTACCCGATGTTACGATACCTGAATTCTCGGTGTTGTCACCATATTCCCCCCAGAGAACTCGGGACACTTGCGTTCTAGAGAGAATTGAGAATTGGCAAAGACGAGGATCGACGGTAGATTACGAAACGGCTCAGTTTAAGTGTGGAAAGTTTAGGTTTGGGCTGTCAGAATACTCGGCGTTCGAACCGATCGATCGAGCGGTAAAATCGAAACAGTTCGTGTTTCGGATGGCTTGAAACGATGATTCGAGTACTTACGTCATATGCAGAATCGAAGTTGAATAAACACGCATTATGTGCAAATCAATACTACCATTTTACCTGTGATTTAGAAATATTTCCAAACGTTTGGTTAGGTATCTTTTACTCGATTAACAAAGAGTCATTATTCATAGAAGATCGTAAGAGAAATATATTTCAATTTAATTACATAATTTCTTCATTGCATATGAACGAGATATACAAAGTATTCGACCACTTCTGGGAAAAATTTTAATGAGAGATTCTAAAAGTCATAATAAGACGACGATCAAGAATATCAATTTCTTAATTGAAGCTTCCTTAAAAAATTATTAAAAAATTAAATTAAAAAATTTCAAATCATTCCAAAAAAATTATTTTTTACCCCCGAATTTCTACGCACTTTCGAGAAAAAAATTCCCTAATGTGAGGCCATAACTTCTGGACGCACCGAAAGATTGTAATGATTGAAAATTCCCTAGAATCTCACATTAAAATTTTTCCCAGCGGTGGCCGGACACCCTGTATAGGGTGAGATAAGGAAAAAGAATAAACAAATAACTGTCTTTGACTTCGGTAGTTCGGTCAACTCGGCTCGCTTTTCCCGAATATTTCGACAGCCCTGTCGCAGGGTCGAGCAAGGGACGCTAGGACAAGCGTAGAGATTCGAAACCACGCTTCTTCTGGCACCGATGGCACGAGTTTCGTTCTCGGTTGTTCCCGGTTGTCGCGAAAGTTTTTAACAATCAGAACGTCCGATAATCGTATCAGTGACGGCAGGAATCGTCCGCAGATTCGAAGACGTTCTATTCGATTCCGTATCGTTTAGTTTCTTGGCAATTTTTCAACAGATTTCTCGAGAGCATGGAGTACTTTTTTATTTTGGGATCACCTGCACTTAAATTCCCGCGCGTGCGTTCGATCGACACGTACTTTCGCTTCTAAAGTAAATGTCTTGTACCCAAAGTTATTATACGCGAATTTCCTTCACTCGACTCGAGTATACGAGACTGTACAGATCGTTTCAGGTTCCTCCGTCATTAATCGCGCGTTATCGGATGTTGCGTGAAAAGATTCCGATGGACGCGCCCAGGGAAAACGGGAGACGAAACGGCTCGATGAATACGAGAAGAAGGGGGACGAAACCTACGACGTTAACGGAGAATTTCGATAATTGACTCGCGATTAAATACCGCCCATTTGTATCTAAGTGTGGTTTTGGTTAGGAAGAACGAATGGAGCTTCCCCAAAACATACCTCTGCCACGGTGATCGTGTAACTCGCGCGAACCGATTTACTCCGAGCAGTCGAAGAGGCGTGAATTTTCCATTTACCTTCGCCGTCGTTCGAACGTTCATTTTTCCAGTTCATTGAAAAATGAAGAGGACGACGAGCAAGAGGAAAACAAAATCGACTCGTTGGGTGGTCCGACGAGACACAGGAAGGGGAGAAATATCGGTTCGCGCGCAGTTCCTTATCGGTCGCCGTGATGCTCAGTAGTGTCGAATGTTTTTGCATGGGCTGTTTAACTTTTTTTTATCTCACTATTTGTAGTTTAACACACGGCCACTTGGTCTTGGCGAGGTTGCAAGACTCGAGGTAAGTTTTCGAGGCGATCGTTTCGAGCCGAGAGGAGAATTCTTCTTGAACGCGAGGTTCTTGGTTCGCGACGGGCCGCCCAGCCCTCGAATTCGTTGTCACCAGTGTGCTTTTTCGAACCTCGACACTCTGCATCCTCGATGTGTTTTGTACAGACGGTCGTGCTTCAGCACCAATTGCCTGATTTTCTTTGTTTATTCTATACGGAACGAGGGAGCCGTTAGGATTTTGCGTTTGAAACTTTTGCGTTTAGCGAGGCATGTGGACGCGAGTAACGAAGACCATTTCGAAACTATCATGGACTAACTATCCAAAACTCTGTCCGAGACGATTTCTTTCGATATCGAACGATGCATGATCGATCGGAGACTCGATGCTCTGCCTGGTGTCGTTAGAAGAAGCGCAAACAGTTTAGTTTTTGGTAGATCTTTTAGTTTGAATGCATGTACAAGTACTTTGAATAATTTCTGCGAGGTAAGTGTTTGGTGTGTAGTGTCGGGCTCTTTTTACTCGTCGAGGAACAAGACATTTTCGTGCTGGTTCTCAATTTTCGATATTACTTCCTTTTTGACGCGACGACTAGCAAAAATAGAACAAGAACAACCGTACCGCGCGTAACTTCCTGCAAAGCGTTTTTAGCCTTTCATTTTTTTTTTCATGTTTTTTTTTTTCTCTTGTTGTAACGCTTTTTCGCGACAGTTCTTTATATGGCAACTCCTGCATGACGCTTGGTCATTCTGCATTTGACGAATAAAGTACTTACATGGACAACCGACACCGTTCATAATACAGACACACGCATACAAACACAATAGAACGCCTCTCGACGAAATCTCAATGCCGGAGAAATTGTTAAGAAACACTTTGCAATCGAATTTCACGACGTAGATCGACCGTAGGACTTTCCTCGAGAGGGCAATTATTGTCAATGATCTGTATCCGAATTCGTTCTCCCGTGCCAGGGGTGTGCAGAAATCGCTAGAAAGAAATATTCTTAACAGGTGGACGACAAGGAACTCTCCGGAGCCGAAGAGGAGAAAGAAGTCGAAAAGGCCCTGCTGAAACCGTTGTTGTCTCTGGAAGATCTCGTCAGGTTCTCCGCTCTCGAAGGAGGCGGCGGGGATTCCTTAAGGACTTTGCTTCAACGGGGACAGGAGACGGGGACCGAGTGGCCGGGCCTCGAACACGCGAATATCGGCCCGTACATACAGAAGATGCTTGCCGCGGCCGCGCCTTTCAAAGGTGACGAAACGATACCGATAATAAACTCGATAGAAATAAAATAGATATTAACATTTGCATCCTATGTTAAAAGGTTACCAAATTAATTTTCTCTAGGTCCACAAATAAATCTTCTTCTTATTGTTATTATTTCGCGTACGCTCGAAAATGTCCGCGTCCGTCGTAGCCGAGGATTTGGGTTACTTCCGACAGAAGCTAGACCGTTCCGTTCGCTGACTGGGCAACTAGTAGTCCGTACGAAGGACCGAGACGAAAGTCGAAAAGTGTATTACGAGCTAGTAGGTCTTCGGAAATCGATAGAAGCCAGGCCCTAGTCGACGGGTCGGTGACACTTTTTCCACCTTCTGAACGGAACTGCGTTTAAGTAGCTTGAACAGTTCTACGGGAGGCTAATCCGAGATTAAGACAAATGCTCGCAGGCGCGAAGAACCGACGCAATCGTGTACCTTGACAAAAAGCATTGCGAGTCAATGGAATAGAGATCCTCGACTCGCAAATTCGCCCGACTTCATTTCCGCGTGAATAAACGTTCGATTGCATTCGACAGGTCTGGAGACGCAAGACTATCGCATTCCAGAGGTGATGAGGAGGCTGATGAGCGAAGACAAGAGGCTAAACAAGAGCGTAAACGGGGACCAGTCGCAGTCGCATCATCAGCAGTTTCATCACCAGCAGTCCCACGGGACTCACTCGCAGGCGCAGACGCAGTCGCAGTCGCAGGCGCAACAGCAACGCGGACCGATCACCAACGACGACTTCAATCCGAACATCGAGGAGGAGGCGAGCGACAGTGGTCAAGGTAGAGCTATTCTGAAGATTCCGTCCTACAAGCCCGCGAGCACCCCGGGATGTTCGAGCAAGAACGGCGAACCAACTTCCGCCGCTTTCGCGCAAGGATTCGCGGCCGCGGCCTCGAGTCCGGGCCTCCTGGAGCGGGCCTCGCCCGCCTTCTCCGGCACCAGCAGCCCGACCAACTCGCTCGTGGGGAAGACGGTAGCCGTCAACTTCCGCGACGTGATCGCGAAGAGCATCAGCGTGAAGTTCCAAGAGGGCCAGCCGGTTACCTCGGCCGGGATGCCCGGATGCCAGTCCGCCGGGGTGGTGCAGTCGCAGCAGACGATGATGACGGACAGTCCGTTCAAGAGAGGTAGATACACGCCGCCGCAGCCGGCGACGCAACAGGCGCAATCGCAGCCGAAGCCGCAGTCCCAGGAAGCGAACAAACCGAAACAAGCTACCGGTGGCAAGGGAACAAGACCGAAACGCGGCAAGTACAGGAACTACGACAGGGATAGCCTGGTCGAGGCTGTACGCGCCGTTCAGCGGGGCGAGATGAGCGTGCATCGTGCAGGCAGCTATTACGGAGTACCCCACTCCACCCTCGAGTACAAAGTTAAGGAACGGCACCTCATGAGGCCAAGGAAGAGGTACGTTCGACCGTCGTGCGCGTACAGGTCCGAGCAATGTTCGCTCGAAACGAACGTACGGCTCGATCGTCTTGAAATTACATCAGGTCTGCAGACACCGGTTGCCTTTCCATTTAACCTGCGTCGTTGATTTGTTCCAGGGACCAGAAGCAGCCGGACGACAAGGCGAAAGAGACGGCGGCTGTGGCGGCGGCGGCGGCGGCCGCCAACATGCGACCGGGCACAGCCGACAAGAAGCCGCAGCTGAAGCCGCAGAAACCGTTCACACCTCCCGGCGGTATACCGGGGCCCAACGGACTAAAGATGCCGCCGTTCATGGAGGGCATGCCCCATTTACCGTTCGGGCCGTTCAACTTTTGGAATCCGACGCCGTTCATGCCGTCGCCGTTCATAACCGGGGCGCCGAACGTTCCGGGGATCCTGCCGGAGCAGTACTTCGCGACGAGTCGGATACGCGGGCTGCAGGAACAGCAGAGGAACGCGGCGATGGTGCAGCAACATCAGCAGAGGGACAGGGACGGGATCGGCGTGGCCGCGACCACCGCGGAGTCGCCGGGAACCTCGAATTCTCGCGGTACACCGATGACGAAGACGCCGCGGGAGGTGACGGAGAGCCTGTACGACGGCTCGGGGGCGAACGGCAGTTTCCTGGACAATCTGATCAGGTCGAGCCTCGAGACGGGAATCCCCAGGGACCAGAGGGCGATGGCGGAGGGTAGGAACCAACAACAATCGTCCTCGCAGCAGCAACAGCTACCCGAATCGATGAGGAGCAAAGCGTTGATCGACCAGCTGTGCAGGAACTCGAGGAGGACGCCGGTGCCGCGGCTGGCACAGGACAGCAGCGAGGACGAGAGTTACAGGGGACCATCGGCTGCTGGGAGGCCAGTCCCGGAGAGGCCGGAACGCGTGCCCACCGTCGATCTAAGCCCGTCGCCGTCGGAACGGGGCCGCACCGACGACGGCAGCGACCGATTGACCTCGCCACCGACGCCGCTTTCGGTATCGAGGGCCGGCAGCAGGGACGACGATCGCAGCAGCAGGGAACGCGAGGTTCACAACGGTGGACAAGAGGATCGCGATAGAAAGACTCTGACCGTTCAGCAGCAGCAGCCGCCGCCGCCGCAGCAGCAGCAGCTGAATCACTACCCGGACTTACTCTACGCCGTATCAACTGACAAAAAAAGTGCCTGTGATAGTAAGCTTATAGTAGATCATTCGAGCCAGAAGACTCAGCAGCAACAACAGCAGCCGCAAACGCAGCCGCAGCCGCAACCGCAGCAGCAGCAGCAGCAGCAGCCACAGCAGCTGCCGCAGCAGCAACAGAAGGAGTACGCTGCCGTGAGCGGACTGGTCGTGCAACTGCAGCGGGGCTACAATACCGGGAACAGCAGGTCCGGTGAGCAGACCAACAGCCAGCAGTCGGCGGATCAACGCGGTCCAGCGATCAGTATGGAAGACTCCGTTGAGCAGTAGAGAAAAGTCGGTATCGTTGATCAGTAAAGTATAGAGTTAACGAGAATACGGAGAATAAGGTCCGTATACAGTAAGCCCATTCCCGCCCGATGCTACGGCATTTCACGCAACGCGTCCTCGTCGCGCGCCGCGGGCGCGGGGATGCTCGCCCTCTCGCCTCCTCCTCGTTTTCGAGGAGCTTCGATTGCACACGCTCCTTCGGTTTTCTTCTTATTCTCCGTTGGGCGTGCTACGAGAACGGGAATCCGGCGTGTTCCTCGCGAACAGCCGGGCCTCGAGAGCACGACACTCGGTCGGTTTGGCTATGAAAGCAAACGCGGACCGTTTCGAGGCGAGGGGCGTGAATGGCGAGCGCCTCGTCCGCCGGTCGCGGGGACCGAGGAACGATTCAATAACGCGAAACGTGGCACGAAACGGTAGCAGCCCCAGGTAGCCTGACCCTGCCCTTTCCATTCGGAAGCTCCTTGTTGAACGTCGCGAGGCAAGTTCGAAAACAGGAAACAAAAGGGAACGAAGAAAACGTGTAACGAAAACGCGTAAGCGCTACCCAACCAACCAACCACCCGTCAACCCACTGCGATTCCATCAGTTATACGTATCCGGCAGTCGATCACCGTCCAGCTGACGGTAGGTCGTACCGGAAGGAACCCTTTCGACTATGGCGATATTTCGAATCGAAGAAAACGCAAGAAACGGATACAAAGCACGATGCGATGTTATTGTACCGAACACTCTGACACCGACACACGTACACGCACACGCGCACACGGACACATAGGACACACCGGTAGACACACACGTACACCCTCGTTCGATGAGACACTTTGACACACGTAACACGCTCACACGGACGCCTCTGACACCCTCGGATACGCAGATGTGCCGTTGGCGCGCACGCACCACGGCGATCTACGCGATATCCAGGCGAAGAAAATACAAACGGTGAACACGTAAACGAGCAGCACGTCAATAGTCCGCGCGTGCACGCGTTTCCGTAGGAAAAATACGCGTTGGGTAGGAGCGCGCGATTCAATTTCCGCGAGGGTTGCCCCGGCCGACTACGCGCGCGGAAACGTCGGCCGTCTATCGTAGGCTTCTCCGAGAACCGTGCGAGAACACGAGGACAAACAAAATGCCGACGCAACAACTACAAAAAAAAAAGTAAAAAAAAAATTATGATAAACAACAACATCATCAACAACAACAACAACAACAACGTATTTTTTCCTCTATCGATGTAAAACTACCTAAAAATGCAAACTTATTACCTACACTACTAACATTACTTAACTCGTAAGGAGCAACATAATTATATAAGGAATGATATATTATATATATATACATATATATTTTTGGTCATTACGAACGTAAATGCGAAACGAGAACGAGGCCAAGACTTTTGTTGGCGCGCGTAATAGGTGACGTTTTTTCATAAGGCGACAATATTTCTCTAATCTCGGTTATTTCAAGGCTGGCGTTCGATAGAAACGCGTCCCTCGTCGCAAAACGGGTCGCGCACGTAGGAGGAACATTAAACGAAGGGAGGAAGGAAAGACGAAGCTATTTAGGAAAACGATGGGAGTGGGAGGGGGAGACGGGGATCTTCGTCGATGAGGAGAAACGCGTTCGTGGTTTCTTCGCGATGTCAAACGATTAACAGAGATTCGTGTCTCTTTGGACAAAAAGGAAAAGGAAAAAAGGAAAAACACTTTTATCGATAAACCGATACTCTGAAGGGAATCGGAGAAACGGACGCGAGAATTACCGGGAAGAAATCGCGGAACGTTCCGCTCGTAAAAGTTTTATTTTCGATCCGGGATCCTTCATCGGCGAAGATCGTTCGGTTTCATGGGATTCGGGGTGAAGCTACGACGAACGACGATAGGAAGAGACGAAACAGCAGAGACGCATAGGTTTACAAGGGACTTCGAGGGAATGAATTATAAAACTGTGTAGGCGCGCGCTTGCTCTCGACTCTCGGTTTCTGTCTTTTACCGAAGTGCTGAATATTTTCTTACGCGCGACGATTACGCCGACATTTTGATACGAACGCAAATTTTCTACCGCGTAGAGAAAGAGAAGCAGCGACAAAGGGCGGCACTCGTAGTATTTCTTCGCGAGGAAAACGTACGCTCGACGCTCAATAATCCACCACTATTCCGAAAACTTTTTCGTTGACCTTTTCGCCGGTTTCTCGCCCGCCAACGCCCAGACAAAAACGAAATTCTTTTCGTTCGCTTATCGACTTTTTCTACGACTCGCCATCCATCGCAATTCTCGATCGTGTACGTTTTCCTCTTGGCGGCGAAAAGAAGACAAAAGAAAAAACGTAGCCAAGTTAGGTAAGGTCCTGTCATCGTTCTCAAGGGAGTTTAGAAATTTTCACTTCAAGTACCACCACAAAACCGCAAAGTTTACGCGTAATTTTCGTCAGAGATTTCGAACGAATTTTTAAAGCTCTTATCGACGTTTAGCGATTTTTCAGGGGAGTCCTCTAATTTGCAAGGATCGTATCGCATCGTTGAACAGGAACGAGAGTTTCCACGATCGATTTCGATCGTCGTTGTTCGAGCAACCACAAAGAACGCCAGTCCCTCCTCTTTTGACTAATTTTTTCGCAGATTTACTCACGAGCGTCGTGCGCGCGACTATCGAGGTATCTTCTCGTATTTTCGATTAGAGAATTCCGTTCGACAGGAGATCCTTGACTAGATGAACACGTCGAACAAGTGGCGATTTCGTTGTTTCGCTAGTTGATAGTAGCTGAGAAGACGGTTGGACCAAGACGAAATCGACGAAGGCGGATTCGATGCAGAATGATTCGGTAGACAACAACAACAACAACAAAAAAAAATGAAATAAAAAAAAAAACAGAAAGAAAAACACGCGTAGAAACGGACCGCGCGACAGAAACAGAAACAGGTGACGTTCGACGCGTAGTTTCGCGGGTCACGATTTTCCGTCTTTCTCGAGTACCGAGGAGGATCGTTACAGTTGGTCGTATAAAGGACAAAGACAAAGGAAGCGAAAAGAATAAATCCACGCACTCATCTCACGACTCTCTTTAAGTAAAGTAACGACTGAAAGACTCTAGGCTGTACATAAAGTATAAGGCATGTATGTTCGGTGTTAATGCAAAAATTCCTTATTAACGCAAAAAAAATTATACCTTACTCGAAAAAAAAGTAAATCGTGTAAGCAAGGCTACTCTCTCGGTGTTTTTTGGAACTAAACTTAAAATTTACCCTAAACTTAAAGCAAAAAAACCGTGAATTAAGAGGTTACTTCTAAAGGCGATGAAAAAAGGGTGGATGCGCACCCCACGCAGAGAATGCGCGTCGGAAACAAAAAACAAGTTATTGAGTGTAAACGTTAAGGTCTCCTTAGGGTTAAAGAATAATAAATAAAAATAAAAAAATGTGAATCGAGCTGAACAGCAGAAAAAAACACAAGCGAAAAGCAAGCACTAATCATGATTGTGTGTAAACGTAAATTTAAACTTTCCTTCTAACCCCCTGTGTCCACTGAATCACCCCCTTTCTAATCGCTCACCAAAACCGACCACCCGCTTCGCGTCAAAGTGTAAAAAAAATCGTTCGGTGTGATCTTAAACTACTCGATACCTCGAAAGAAACAAACAAAAAATACTTTTTTCTAAACTTTCACCAGGCACTACACCAAAAGAAAAGGAATGATATTTCTTACACTCGTTCCAACCACCGTCCCCCCCCTTCCTCCCGGCCCCTGCCTTCCACCCTTAACCCACCTCGCCCTTTGCCGAAAAAAAAAAGAAAACTTTACACACAGCCCCTTGTAATCGAGCCTCCTTCGCCCTTTCCGACCCCCGTGAAATCCAGTTCACCGACACACGCCCGAGATAACAACAAAAAAAAAAAAACAAATTGCCCGATATACCCTTTACGAAAGATTTATCGTTAGATGTGAAAAATGAATATTTATCGTGCGGATGATTGTAAAACGTGCGTACACTATGATTGTCGTTAATTCAATTACGGTTACGAAGGTATACGTCGCGACGTTCGATTCGCGTTCTCTGAGCCAGGAGTCGGTTATCGTCACCGTTGATCGTACGCCGAGACGCAAAATCGACCATCTTCCCGTCGCCCAGGCGTCTCATCGCTTCCGGCGGTCTCTCTCGATTCGTCGTCAACATTTCGGGCCAAATATCCGAGCATCGGGGCTAATTTTCGAAGAAACAGCCAAATTTTTTGTACTTTCGACACGTCGACTTCAACGCACAAACGACTCTTTCGTAAAATTCATAAAGCGCGAATGATTAAACGTCTTTTTCCCTTCGGTGGACCGGGGCGAATAAAGTGACGTTCACCGGGTCTGGCGACGACGGGCATCGACTCCTGCGGACGTTCGATACGCGAGTTAAACCACGAGTCTCGTCCGCGTTTCGTTTTCGAACCGGGACGAGCGGATCGCGACGATTGGGGACGATCGGCGCTAACGATTTTTCCCAGTGACACAGTCGCGTCAACGTGTCTGCCGCAGCAGCGATTTTTCGCGTTTACCGGGCCGGAATGTCGCGTTCCCGGCTCCGGAGGTGTTCTCCCGCGGGATACGAGCAGAGAGGATTACTGCGAAAACGAGAGAAAAAAAGAAAAAAGTGAAAAGAAACGCACGAAAAGGAACACGTTTTCTAGAAAGGTGGTTCTCTATTATTGCGGGGAATATTTACGTAGGAAACGATTGGATATAACGTTCTGTGATTTTAAACATTATCGGTGATCGGGGAAACCTCTGTCCATTGGTTGTCGTAGCTCGTTCTAGGTGAAATTTTCGTGATCGAAATTCGTTTTTTAATGGAAACGTAGAGACTCGCGAGTAGGTGGGGTATGGGAGTTTATTAGCGAAATCGAAGGGGACGACGCACAGGCTAGGGCAGATATCGTTGCCAACGCGACTGTAGGAAGAGTGTCGATTTTCGTTTTTCTTTTACGGGGGAGACGGCGGGACCAGAACGCGAGGTCCGTGCGAAAAATCGTTCGGCTCCGGGTCGCCATTCTCCCCGTAGATATTTCCAACGTTTCTTTCTCTCGAAAGTATCTGTCGGAGTCGAGAGAGAAGGATGCTTTCGACCGTGGATTTCCGGCCGTCTCCCTCCACGTCGCGGGCGATACGCTAAAACGATCCGGCGAGAGACGGATTGGTCGAAACGGAGAGGAAAAGAAATCTTTAAGAATTAAAAGAAGATATATTATATTAAAATATCTGTGATGTAAAAAGTATCAAAATTTTGATGTATATTTTTCACAAATTATTGTAACCAGCTAGTGTATATGTATAAGATTACGGATATAAAAGATGAAAAAAAAAAATACTATTGTAATTACGGTGTGTGGAGACAAAATGACGAGTAAGAGAGAGCGAATTGAAAGCCAACAAGCAAACAAAGAAAAAACAAATACGGGAGAATAGCGAGATCGCGAGATTACGTTTATCCACACCGGTGGTCAGATGGGACCAAGATGGCGGGTATCGCTCGGAAAGTCGGGCCCAATGATTCCCGTTTTTTTCTTTACTTTCGTCGTGTCAGCTTAACCCTCCGGGGAACGTAGAATTTTACCGTCGATGTCTCGTTCTCTGCTTTTGATAACGTCGTCGAGTAGACCGGGGAAACAAAAATAATTGTAAATATTTTTGGCGGGAGCCGGAGCTTGTCGTAAATTCCATTTCGCGGCGATAGTCCTGGTAAACAGAAAAAAAGAAAAAAACAAATTTAACGTTACCGTTATCGTTTTTCCGTTTTGTTTTCTTCCACTCTCTCCGTCTGTTTTTTATCTGTCTCGCGGCATCGAACGACGACGAGAGTCACTTTTCGGGCGCGTCGAGTTCTCAAAAACTGGAAGATTTGGACCGATTGGCCCTGAAACGGCTCAATGTCAGCTACCTCACAGAGTATCGTTACGTTTGGTACGGTTCGTGTAATGGGGACGTTAGCGTGGTCTCGGGCCGCGAGAAGAAATCGGATGACCGTCCAGTCGATTTCGGTTCATTTCTCTTGTCGAACGTTCTTTAATGATACTTTTTCAGAAGTTTTCGTCGTTGATCGAAAATTTGGTCCGAACGTTTGTTTGTCGACGGCCAACCGGGATCTTCGGACGGCGAGCCCGCAAACTTCGGGAGGTTGGGGGTCCGTGTAGAAAATGGTCTAAACAGTTCCAAATTGTGCCTAAGTTTTGACGTTACGTTTTTACGACTCGCAGCAGAACAAACGACAAATGTAACTACCGTAGCAGCAAACAGGAACTTTAGTTCGAAGGTGGGGTTGTTCGAGGGACGGGAGGCGGAGAACAGAGGACGGGGACGAAAACGAGTTGAGCGACCTTTAAGCTAAATTAAAATGAAAAATATATTACCTCCGTATACGTTCCAGGGCCGTCCGGCCGCCATCTTGCGTTCATTTTTACGTTCCGTTTTGTCGAATAAGTGCAATTAGGTACACCGACACTGAACACGAACACGAACACAGAGACACGCCCTTGCTCACGTACACACACACACACACACACACACACGCACGTAGACGCGGGGATGAAATACACCGTACACCGAATGACACGCACCCACACTTGAACATAAGCGTACACACGTTAATAAACGTCGACGAACAACGGCGAAAACGAACTGTTACGCGCTAGGTTACCGTTTTTTAAATTCTATTTTCAATTCACGCATTCTCGAATGTTGGGATTTTCGTGATCAACGAAGAGCTGGCCTGTCGTTCACATAGAATTACACGACGGACACACCGACACACGTACCCACACGATACGCGCATGCAAGTACAACGCTACAAGTGAACACGAGACACGTTACACAGGCATACACAACAGGAAGCCGACGTCGATTCGACGATGTAAAACGACACACCGTTTTCGACCATTCTCGAACGTTCTCGCGCTTCTTCGGGAACATCGATCCGGTTCAATCCTGGATCGACGTTCTCGCGAAGAAATCATTCCGATGCTTTAATCGAAAAACCAAACGTCCGTGACGTACGTACATTCCTTTGGTCCCGCGGGCACCGCGCAACGCCTCGTTCTCATTGGCGAAATTGTCGAATCTATTGGAAATTTAGAGGGGTAAAAAGAAAAAAAACGAAACAGGCGAATCGAATCGTTGGAAATTTCAGAGAGTTCGATCGGTTTTCGCGCGTAGCGATCGACACGCGATTCGCATAGATCCCTTTAGACGAAGGAATGACGCGATCGATCGAGGGTCGAAAAGATGGGACAGAGAGAACTTGGTACCTTTCTAATTGGCTTTAATAAGCTCGTAATTCGTAGGCTCTAGTCATGCAATGACTCTAAAAGACGGAAAGTCGTCCTTCGATCGCAGGGACGTGCTTTCGCGTACTCGTATACGCGGCAAGTATACGACGCGAGAATTTACCGATTTGTGTTCAACGGGCGAACAGAAGCAAAGTCGTCGAGTCGATTCGACGTCCGGCTCGACACCGATATATATTATATATGTATATATATATTGGATATATATTATATATTATATATATACATGTATATATATGTATATATATATATACGTTACGAAACTTCTAACGCGTAGTAGCGTAACGAGCGGTTCACGGACGAGCCGTGCGCCCCTCGTTAGGCGCGAAAGGGTGCAGAAGATAAATAGATAGGTAGATAGATATACGACGAAGAAATCGGAAGATTTGAGCGCGAGAATGGCAACAAAGACGGGGAAGCCAGTGCTCGACCACGCCCCCGAAGGCCGGCCGAGTCCGCGGAGTCTCCTCGTATTGCGACTGACAGCGATTTCTTTGCAGAGCTCTCTCGCGACAGCTGGGAACGAACGAGCTACGCGAAATCATCCGTTCTCGCTGCCACTCGAAAAGCCTTTTTTCATTCTCGAGCACGTTGTAGCGACGGTTTCTTGTCTCGCGCGAGATCTCGACGACCCCGCGCGCAGACGTACGCGGTGCGGTCGATGATCGGTAGATCCTTTCCAGAGGCTATCGGATTCTTCATTGAACTTTTATAAAATATTTTATATCGTTGCGCGATTCGCCGACATCGACTCGCTGCTCTCGTTAGCCATTGATATCGGTTCGTTGACAAATTCAAGCGTCGTGTGGGTGTTTCAGCCGCGAGATTCCAGGGAAGGGGGGTTAGGCGGAACGGGAGGGCTGGGGAGGGGGGTTGAAGACGCTGCGTTGACGCCTGGCGTCGACGGGTGAAAACGAAGTTCGTCGAGCAAAGGTGTATTATTCGTCCATCAAAAGGTGATGTATTCTTTAAAGTACAATTACTTCTTGTTCCATACGCGAATCGAAATTACTTTCATGTTCCTATTTCGAGGTTTAAGGAGCGAACTGTATCGTCGGTCTTGTTTGCGGCTAGAGCGATGCGTCCTCGTCGGTCGCGGATCTCATTTCCGCGAAGCTCACGGGCCGGATCGGGGGCGGTGGGTGTTTGATCGGCACTGGCTAAGCCTAGACATTTCGACTAGTAGGAGTTAGGTAAAAATGGCGCTGGTACTACGTAGTTAGCACCGGTAGTACTCGTAGTTTGGCGCTTTAGTTGTTTGTATATCATGTTGTTTCGTTTCTTTTCGTTTTTCTATACTGTCACTGTGTAAAGCCCGGCCTCGCCGCGCGCGACAACCGCCAAGGCGGGACACGGTTAGTCGTACCCGGTGGCATCCGAGGAACGAGCCCTCCAAAATACCGAACAATAAACAAAAGAAAGAGATCGCCGTTCTCGAAAAACCGCGGCGTCGAAAATCATCGATCGTATCGCCGAGTAATTATCTTAATTAGAAAGATTCGCGTCGCGTTGCAAACGATTGGTTAAATCGGCTCGTTAACGGACCCTCGAACGACGGAACGACGGTGGTAGCTCGGTGCTTCAATCAAACCTGTCTATACCAAAATCACTCTGGAACGCACGCACCGGAAATTCAAGGTACGACCAACTAGTTACGGACCAAGTACGCTGAACTGCCGGTGAAATTAATCAAAAGACACGCGTCCCGGCGACGCGCGTTACGTATACGAGAGACCTCTCTTCCGGGAAGCTCACCGCGTTCGCGTTTTTCGTCCTCCCTCGTTCTCACCGGCCCGATTATTCCGGCCTTGGGGAGGCGCGCCGCCGAAACGCTCGGCGAGGCCAGGCGTGTTCCGAATACGCTGCAAAAGAAAAAGAAAAAAAAAACACGTTTTTTAAAGTTTAAAGTAACCGATCGCGAGCGAAAGAGGTAAAATTAAGGAAAAAAAAATCTAAAGAAAATGATAAAAAAATGAAAAAAAAAATATGATTAACTATGAATCCAACCGGATCATCTGAACTTTCCCCCACGCCCAGCATATCCCTCCGCACCGAATCAAATCCCATCGGAACAGATATCGCCATCCATCCAACACGAGCAAACAACCCCTCCGGACAACCTATGGCAAACGCTCTTTGAAAATTCACCCGCATTTCTGACCACACACGCACACTCAGTGACACTCAGCTAAACGAATACCAGAAGTATAACAAGTACACGCAGTCAGCTTTCTACATACAGCTACAACAATATTGCAGCCTCCCGATACCAGTCGTGTCCTTACAGTTAAAAGCGGGCACGCGCCCGCGACGGACGCTACCGGGACAGGCGATCGTCCGTCGACCAAACACGTTTCACCCTCGGCGTTCGCGTTCCTCGCGAAGGACACGCGCCAGGGCATGTTTCTCGATCGGTAGCGTCGCGAGCGTCCGGGCGCTGTCCCGCGCGTGCCGCGGGTTGCATACTCACCCGGGCACAGTGAACAATATACACCCGGCAACAACACACAAGCAGCAACAATAGACATCTCTCTCTGTCTGAGCAGGACGCGTCCCGATCGTGACACGATCGTCGCGCGCGTCCCCGCTACAGGCAACGTACAGCTAACTAAAATCTCTACATCTCACATTATCCAGCAGTGATCAACGCGAATGCAGATGCCACGAAGAGCAATGCAACACACATAAAAAACAAAAAAAAATAAAAATATGGATCGCCCGGCAGCCCGTAGCGAGGTCTTCTCGGGCGACGTCCCGTCGTCGATTCTCCCGATTCATCGCCGAACCGGGGGGTTGTCTGGGACGACCGGGAGGGTCAAGGTTCGCCGCGAGACGCTCGCGATCGGGACCGGGCGTATGTCCCC